CGCTCGCCATCGCCGTTGGCCCGTCTCAGAGCGTTCCGACCTGGCGCGACGTGAGCGTGTCCACGTCCACGTCCCCACCGCGTGGACACGGTGGAAGGCAAACAGGAAGATTCCCAGAGGGAAACTGTGAATGCTTCTGATTTAGCAATGCTGTGAATAAAAGAAAGATTTTATACCCTTGACTTCACTTTTTAACCAAGTTGTTTATTCCAAAGAGTGTGGAATTCGGGGTTGAGGGGGAGGGGGAAATGCAATTCATCCTGTTTGGCATCAAATTCATATTTTTAATTTTCTTTCCTAGCACCTTATAAATTGCAAAATGCGTATTTGCATTTGGGGTGGTTTTTATTTTTATATATATATATAAAATTTTGAGCTTGCTTTTTTTTCTTGCTATGACAATTGAAAGAAATATGATTCCTTTTTCTGTAAGTCTTATTTAACTTTTCTTTTGGACTTTCGTGTAGTTGTTTTTTTGAGAAACAGCTGCAGCTTTGGGTCATTTTCAACTACTGTATTCCCACAAGGAATCCCTAGATATTTATCTTGATGTTTAGACACTTACTTACGTGTTGATACTTTTTTTTATTATTTAAATGTACTTATATTAAGAAAAATATCAAGTACTACATTTTTTTCAGTTTTGTTTTTGATAGTAGCCAAAGTTAAATATCACATTGAAGGCTGGGGAAAAAAAGATGGGTAATGTGATCACTTGGTTATCTAAATATTGTTTACATTAAACTGCCTTTAATGTTAACGAGTTGGTAGCTAATGCAGCAATGTCTTTGATAGGCTTTTTAGATACTGAGAGTCACTGTAAAGATCTGAAGTATGGAATTTTCTGCCAAGCTCAACAGAGGGTCTCATATCTGACCCCCTCCTTTCAAACAGAGAAGGTCAAATCTGGTTTCAGAGGGTTCATGTAGATGCCAATAATTGCACCTCTGGAGATTTATTTTCTGCCTAGGGATTTGCTCACTCCGTGGCCTCTTGATAATTTCAGACATGCTTTGTAACAGAACAAATCCAAAGTAAGCTGTGTGGAGGAGCAGTATCCACATGGGAACCAAATGAACAAACTTAAGGGTCCCTCACATGCTCAGTTCTGGGGTGGAAAGGAGATCGTCTGAATCCAGAGTTCAGGTTTTTTATAGCTCCAAGAATACATTCTTCTTTGATACAGTATCAGTTCATTTACACAGAACAAAACTCTGCTGTTCCCCAAGGCTGGGACTAGACGGGATGCCTTTGACAGCTGAAGGTTCTCCAGCTGAATCTTCATAGGGTGGGCCCAGAAGCAGGCCTGAACAAGCCCGTTTCCCTGTATATCCCTGGAGTCACATGGAAAAGAGCATTGTGTCCCCTGTGCAGGACCCCACGCCATGCTGCTCGTTGGCCACCACCTTTGTGTTGCTTTCACCAGGCTGAGACTCTACCCCGCGGGGTATGTGCACTCTGACCTGTGCATCAGCATGACAGCAAGATTCACGGCACTGCTGCCCACGGCTACAATGCAAACGTCTCCAATGTCACTGTAAATTTTATGGCACTATTTTTATTGGAGGATTTGTTCAGAATGCAGTTGTACAATTCACAAATACTAACTGCTGATTTTGACGTGTGCTCCAAATGATCTGGTTATTATTTAAAGTACCTCTTAAATTAGTTGAAACAATTTCAGGTCAACTCTGAAGAGTATTTGAAAGCAGGACTTTAGAACAGTGTTTGATTTTTTATTTTATAAATTTAATGATTCAAATTAGAAAAATCTTTGGCTGCAGGCAGCGAAACAGCTGGACTTATTTAAAACAAGTTGTTTTTGAATTTTCTTATATATATATATTGATTGTTTTACACAGATGCAGTAGCACTTTGGTAAGAGTTAAAGAGTAAAGCGGTTTGTGTGGTCAGGTCGTTCTTATCTGGAAAAGAGTTAAAGCAGATCTTGGAGAAACTCACAATATATTCATTTTCATTTTAGGCATAATTCTCTCTCCACAAGTGAATTTCATGTTTTATTCTATATTATATTTTTGCAGCAAATTTATCTTTAAATGTCAGTAAATTGAAATTTTTTATTTCTGAAAGGACCCTTAACTCATTTACCCCAAATGAATTTATATGTTCTTTTCAGCACATGTTGCCATATCTGACCCGACAAAATGTTGGGGGAAAAAATTAAGGGGAAAAAAAATTATATTTTTTAGTTCAATTGTGGTACCTGAAGCTATTCCAACTCAAAATCAGCCCGGTGCCCTATAAGGGAATTATTGAATCTTCATTTGCAAAGCCCTGTGTGAGGAGGGCTCATCACTTTGTTGTGAACCCACCAGTTTGGCCATTTAGAGTTTCCCAGACCCTTACCAGCATATATAATATTTAATTGTTCTAGAAAATAATAAATCAACCCTTAGTTGTTTTGGAGATGGGTCTCACACTTAACGCATTTTTCCCCCTGAGGAATTTCGTTCATTGCCTTTAGATAAATAAAGGTGGTCCTTTTATCAAGAAGGCCTTTAAGCCAATAATGTAATAACTGGATGTATCTGGGAGCATTGATCCAGAAGAAAAATAAGCTATCTCCAGCGCTTATCTGTGCCCTTATTTAAAATTTCAACATGGACACATATTTCAGTTTTTTGTTTTTCTCACCGTCTAAAAATACTTGCATTGCTTTCCCTCTCTGCCCCCTCACATCTCCCTCTCGCTCTCTACCCCTCCCCTCTCCATTCTCCTGCTTCGTGTAAGGAGATAGCACACACCCCACCCCAACACCAAACACCCAGAACAGGATGAGCGACAGTTCTCTTCCCTGTACATAAAGAAACATGGTGAGTCAGCTTTTCTCCTGCTTGTGGTTTCTTCTAGCAGAACAGAGACGTTGCCAACCATTTTGGACCTGCTTGCTGTCCTAGAGCAGCGAACAGTAGCCTTCCTGGGCAAGGTACAATCAGCAAGTTAACACAGCCTTTCTGCTGCCGAGGGTTTCTGTGCGGATAAATAGAAATGCTCTGATTAGAAAGGAAATGAATGGTTTCACTCAAATGTCCTGCAATTGAGGATTGCAGATGTCTGTCCTGAAATACCTGTTTCCTTGGGACATTCCGTCCTGGTGATTTTCAGTTGTGGTGGTTTTTATTTTCTGGGGGAATGACATGTTTGGGTCTTTCATACATCAAAAATCAGTTTAACCATAATCTCAGAAAACATTTTTTACATCTGAACAAATGCCTTTCTGTTTACCTACAGTATACAATTTTGGGGGCGTGTTTGTCTTTGGAGTTCGCCCCCCTCCCTTTAGCCAGATCAGTATGGATGAGGCTGATCATTTGGCATTCTTTTCTCTTTTCAGAAGAGTCGCATCAACAAAGTGAATTGTATTTATGTATGTAAATAGATTTTAAGCTTCATTATAAAATATTGTTAATACCTGTAATAACTTTTTCAGTTTTTTGTGTTTCTAAGGACTTTTTCTTATGTTTGCTAAATACTGTAGACAAAAATGCTTCTTTCTATTTTGTTTATTTTAGACTTTAAAACGAGCTACTTTTTATTCACTTTTGTAAAGAGCTAATAGCATGGTTCCAATTTTTTTTTTTAAAGTTCACTTTTTGTTCTAGGGGAAATGAATGTGCAAAAAAAAAAAAGAACTGTTGGTTATTTGTGCTATTCTGGATGTATAAAAATCAATGGCAAAAAATAAACTTTCAAATTGAAATGATGGTAGAACACATCTATTGAAATGTAGTCTTCCTTGACTCAGGCCCACCCAACGTCTATTAGTGTAGAGGTTACTGGCTCTATTCACAGAGCACCCTGGGAATGTGTGTATGGTTTCTTTCTCCCTGGTACTGACATACTGAACACTTCCTGAAAGGGAGCTGTCGATCTCAAATTTTAAACCAGATACGGTCTGAGGGAACACCCCAAAAGCTCCTCTCCAAGGTGTTTCTTGACAGTGCAGGGGAGCAGGCACCCCATCCTCCAAAGTCATCGTGCACAATCTGTGCGGGACAGCTGGGCTGCTGCTGCCCAGGAAACACTGGAGCCTTCCTTTGTACCACAGTATCTTTTGTAAATCCAATATTATAACCGGTGAATGGCAAATAAGCAGTTTGGCAAGTACAAATACCATATCACATTGTTTTTGTCTTTCTCTGACATGGAGGGGCTGGGAAGCCAAACGAAGCCCACTGCAACACACAAGAGACTTCAACAAGGAGCAGCTCACAGGCTTGCTCACTGCCAGATGACATCCGTGCCTTCTCCCAGTGCTTCTAGCGCCTGCTGGGGGTGTGATGGCCTAGCTAAGTGCCAGGCTGCTGGTGTTGCTCCTTCGGGTGTGAATGAGCACTGAAGCATGTTTTCATGTTTGTTTAAAAAGAAAAGAAACAGAAAAAGGAAGAAAATTACATGGGATTTGCCGACAAAAAGCAGAAAGGGCATATGATCAACCTGAGGCCAGTCACCCTCATCGGCCTCCCTGTGTGTAAATTACGGGAGGCGACCTCGAATAGTGGGAAAAGCTGTCTAAAAGTTCATCCCTCATCCCCTCTGTGCAAATTAGTAGCATTTCAGTCTTGTCACTGTCATCTCATGGTCTTAAATGGTCCGGCATGGTGGCCACAATGTCAGGAACCCAAAGGAATGACTGACGTAAGAAGTAAAGGCCAATGAGCAAAGGCAGGAAACGAGTGGAAGGATGGCCTCGTGTGTGATCAGCTAGTGGCGCAGCTGAAAGCATGTCCTCAGGTGTCGCACTGCCTAGGTTTGAGTCCCAGGTCTGTGTCACACGAGAGAACAAATTAAACTGGAGCCCTAGTTTTTCTCAGCCGTAAAATAAGGGTAATAATGCTTTGAGTTATAAAATTTACATTAGTTCATACATGTCAACACCTTAAAAAGTGCTTGGCATGTAACACGTGCTCTATAAATGTTAAATACACAAAGCGATAACTACTCATTGTTAAAAATATAAACAGTTCCACCCAAAAAAGCTGAAATATCTTCCACGTCCCCCAATCCACGCCTTGCTGTTTCTGTGGCGGCCTCGCGTTCACCATCGCAAACTGTTTCCTACACCCATAATGCACAGCGCGTCTTAATCTGCACCCGTGCAAAAAGGCCTCACGCGGTACATGTCACGGCACAGTTTTTTCACTTAATATACGAGGTGCATCCTTCCACACCAGCACACTTAGGTCTTCTCCATTCTCCCCAGCAGCTGCCCTGCATCGAAGTACGTGGTTGCACTAAGCCGTTTACCTTCTCCTTTACCGATAGGCATCGAGCTTGCCCCTCCTGTCTTGCGCTTATAATAGTTCTCTGCATATATCTTATGCCTTGTGCTAGAATCTCTGCACGTTTAAAAGGAACCGTTGGTTCAGATTTCACATTTTGACGGGTACCTCCAGATGGCTCTTTCAGAAGGTTTTATTGAATTCGATTTCTAGGGTCAGGACCATGTGTTTGGAAGAAGAAAACAGAAACTTGCCAGGTAGATGCTGGATTACCGCTGTCTACCGCAGGGTTTTAAACCAGACTTTAGTGACAGCGGGATTCTGTACCTTCTGAAGTGTTCAAAGTACTCTGGGGGAGGAAGGTAGGCCTGAAGAAGAAAATAACCACAATATCCGTTAAGTGCTTAACTGCCAGCTGGGCTCTGGTTTAAGTGCTTCACACATACTGGCTTATTCAGTTCTTACAATGGCTCCGTGAGTGGGGGAGGGGAGCTTTTGTTACGCCCATTTAGCAGATAAGAAAACTGAGGTGCAGTGAGGTTTAGCAATTCCACCCATCGCCCCACAGCTGTTGGCGGAGGAGCAGTGAATGAGCCCCAGCAGGCAGCCCAGGGGGCCCTGCCTTGAACCACTTTCTATAACGAAGCTCTGAGCAGCGTTAGACGTTCATCAATGACAACAGAGTTGTCTAGACCCTCAATGGCGGCCTGTTCCTTCAGATTACGTCTCCTTGTCGCTAGTCTGAAAGCAAAAGAGAGAAATGACTGTGTGAGAGTTTCTGAAAAAGGGAGAATCGAAAAGGCTTCCAAAGAAATTGCTCAGCCTTGCTCAGGGCTCCAGATCATGGAGAGGTTCCAGGTTATGAGCCTCCTTCCTGCATGTCCCAGAGTGCCAGACAGACCTCGTGAAGTCTGGGTGACATCCTCAGGGGGAATCCTCCACACCTTCTCAACTGTGCTCTTTATTGATGTGTTCATTTTTAATTAATAAGCATTATTTTTTAGAACCATCTTAGATTTACAGAGAAATTGAGCCAAGGGTATGGAGAATTCCCATCCCCCTACCTCCCAGCACATAACTCCCCTTATTAACATCTTAAAAATTAATATAGTACATTTGCAACATTAATAAGCCAATACTGATACCTCGTTAACTAACATCCGTAGTTTATTCAGATGTCTGTTTTCACCCAACATTCTTTTTCTGTTCCAGGAACCTACGTCACATGCAGCCGTCATGTCTCTTTAGGCTCCTCTTGGCTGTCACGTGTTCTCAGACTTCCCTTGTTTACGAAAGTC